CCCGCCAGGCCGCCAACTCTATCAAAACCCCGAATTTTCGATGCATCCGACTTTTGCTTTTCCTTCACCAAATTGACCTTCACGACAGTACGAGGCGTTACGAGTCCCCATCCCCCCTCATGGCTGGTGGTGAATCGAGTAACTCTACCATTAATGACAACCGCGACATCATCCTCCTTATCCAATACATACCCCGTGATAGACCGCGCCAGATAATTCACCATCTGCTTGGGAAGCTCTTCCCCGCATATCTCGCTTAGATGAGCATCCTCCGAAGTGAGCTCAACTTCACAGAGATCCTCAAAATCTTGCCTAAATTTCTTCACTTCAACCTCCTCGAACCCCATCCATGCCGGACAGTACACCTTTGCCCCCTTCACTTTACCAACTATACTACACACCACTACCCTCTTCCGTTCAGGGTGGCCTTTCTCCATGACAAGGACCAAGGATCCATTCGAGACACCGGCATTTTTCCCCACGACTTGTGAGATTCGTACCCGTCTCGCCACTGCGTTATCATCAGGAACGACCAACACGTAATTCCTTTCGTCCTCCTCATCCACCAACGCCGCTGCTGCTGCCTCTGAAAGACGATCTCCTGAACTCGTCGACACTCGGGGCATTTAAAACGAAAATACCACCTTCCCTAGGAATAACCTCACTGAATTCAACAGGCCATCCATGAACTCCTCATTCACTCACCAATCCTTATCGAGTTGAATACCACACCTTCCCCAAATTCCTGATGAAAGCCATATAGTCCTTCCGAAGACTGCGTGTTGTATAATCAGAGACCCGATAGCAAGTCCGCCGAAGACGAATCACGTGTACTCACAAGCCTGTGAATCACCTATCTTCCACCTCCGGCCCTCGCGTCCTCTCTACAAGACATCATGAAGATGTTTAGACCTAGGCAACCGTACTTTAAGAGATGACCCTTCCGAGTTGGATGTTGAGCATAGAAGGTTGCAGAATACAAGGAAATTCAAAAATACACCGGAAAATCGGAGGAAAGGTCCACATATAAGCAAACATTACCCAACTCATCCGCCAGTTCCATGTCATCGTTGTTCGTAGTGAAACTCTGGGCCAACCTCTTTTTCATGCAAAGGAGTTGTTGGGCATTGTGTCTTTTCATCTTCTATTTAGACACAAATGACATTCACTAGCCCTATGCTATGAATCCTAGCGCTAGGGCCTTTATATATTCATTTATTATGTTAAATAAGCTTCCACAAAGTCTTGTACTTTGCGTTAATCCCTAATCATTTAAACTTTTGGGACAAACTCCTGCCTCGGCCTCCTGACTTCTTCAACGGGCCAGAACAAGGCTTTCACTCAGAGTCCTAAGACGCGTACAATTCACTTATTCTCGACACAACGAGAGCGGATGGCATTTAATGGACTTATTCGAGAATCTCCCAGGATTTGGAAGACTACACTGTGGGTCGAATGATCAAGCCTAGATCCAGCTGATAGTGTACTATGTGTACACACAACAGCTATGGTCAGGGTCAGCCCGATGGACAACTTTAGGCAAATCCTTACTACGTGGTCGGAGGTTAATAGAAGAGAGAGAATAGAGTTCCTTTAGTAATGCTCAGGCTGCCTGAGGGTTTGCCTGAGTCAGGCATACCCTAACCAACGATAGTTGAGTATTAGTCAGTAAAAAGTAACGCATTTTTCCATATGCGTACCAAGCCAGGTATCCGTATTAGGCACAAACATGCCCTCTACCTATCCTCATCCACTCAAGCATAGTAACGTAGCAATAACAGCCTACGACTATGCCGTAGGTAATCCCATGAGAGATGTATACCTTATTACGATGAGCTCGACCAGAGGACATGGAAAGTGAAGATATACTGACGACGGAATTGGCAGCCACACGAGTCGGGCCATCAGCTCTTGGTGCGACAGCAACAGAAACAGGCCGATAGGCAATTGAAATATCGTCAGTTGGAGGGGTCGCAGGTTCGATCCCGGCACTTGCGTTTTTCGTGTTTTTGGTATTTCACTGTTCAGCGGTGAAGAGCAGTAAAATCCTCATGAAGATTGCAAATGCCTGTGAACGATGAAAAAAGAGTTCTAAAAGCGTTATTGTTATGCGAGTGTTATATGCACCCGGTCAGCACTACACTAAAAGCCTTATTTTAACTGACGATTGTCCAAACTTTGTTTGGCTAAGGGCAGTTCGCTATGTAGACACTCTCCACGATCTTGACCACACTTTCTCTCTCTGAAACAAAACTGTTAAAACCAAAGCGAGTGCTCGACTCGAACCTAGAGCCTCACGAATGCGAGCTTTGTACCTTATCGTTTAGACAATCTCAACTTATTGTTTCTCCCTTTGTCGTTCGTGTCGAAACTTTCGCTATTATTCCCTCCAGTGCGCCGTTTTCAACTCGCTTACATAGTTCTTTCTGGTCCACTATCTTGGGGATGACCTTTCCTACCATGCTGATTGTGTTCCTCACAATGTGAGCTTTGTTTGATGGTCCATTGTTTCATATTAGTCTCGATCCCAACTGGTACTTGGCAAACTTGTCATCCCAAACGACCTCAGGTGTTATATTGTCACCTTCTTCGAAAATGATGTCCTCTATGAGTCCCTACGATCGCCCTACTGTCGAGGAGTCCCCCAAGGCCTGGTCGTCATCCCCCACAAACAGCTCCTATTCTACTGTCTGTTCTACTCCTACTAGTATTAGTTCAGGAGACTATTACTACTATGATGACAGGCAGTGTATGGTCATTCTAGATTGGGATGACACCATTATGCCTACTGGGGTCCTCACGGATCATGGAGGAAAGGTAGTAGGGAAAGGACATGTTCGATGGATATAACACCTTCCTCACTCGTGGTTGAGTGAATGGATACCACCGTGTTGTTGACGTTGCGATAAAAGTATTCAACTAGCGAATACGTCACTCGGATGAGCGATATGCTCTCAACAGGGAGTTTAATTTCGCGGATGGGAGAAGATATTTCGACGCAAAATACTGGGGTCAACCTCTCCTCGTCATTTTTGGAGGAGCCTGTCAATCTAATAGACTCTGGTTATGTATCTCCTCTGTTTCAGTTAACCATCTCGAGTGTATACACGTCAGTGGTTGAGGGGTTCCTCACCCTCCTACTCCGTCTTACTCGAGGTAACGTCTGCGTGCTAAGCTCTAGTACAGAGGGTTGGGTACGGGAGAGCTGTTCCCTCTACCTTCCTCGGCTACTCCCCCTATTGGATCGCATCAATGTGGTACATGTACCCAAAAACCACTTGACGAGAGGGATCAAGTAGGCTGTTGGCACCGAGCTGATGCCAAGGAAAGGAGGAGTATTTCTCAGGCAAAAGGAGGCGTCAGCTGTTAAAGTGGTCAGCCAGTGGTACTCACAAATACCTAGAGGGAGCGGAGCATCGCAGGTAGGTTATAATGCCCCTACTCAGATTCGAACCGGGGACCTTCAGGTGCTATTCATTGGCAACCAACCAGGTGATGTAAGTCCAAGTGCTATGATCCGTACTCTCCTTCCCAACACTTCTGTCAAGACGTGTATGCTCAAGGCTTCTCCAACCATCCAGGATATCCAACGTCAAATGGTAATATATCAATTTGCGCAGTCGGAAGATTTTCGTACCGCCGTATCTCTCCAGACGTATTTATATTATTCATTGAGAAGTATCTTGGTTGGTGAAGCTGAAGCCTACTCTGTGGTTGATGCCTGCTCAGAAGATGTTTTAGACTTCTATGCTGCCGATATTGATCGCAGGTTATGCAGTACTTCCGAGTAAGTGGGAGGCGAGCCATTGTTAATATGCATGGGTGATTTGACAATGGTGTGGTATTAGTAACGCTGGAATTATTTTTACAGTTTTTCTAACAGTAGTAGCATATGCAGAAAGCATTGTCACTTCTATTGCTTCAGCGCGTGGGCATTGATCGAACCACTGCCTAACATTCATGTTTTCAGGCAACAGAAACAGCAGCCCAATGATGATGGAGTATCTCATTGAGTTGAAGACAGAAGGTGAGTTGGGCTTGGATACGATGACTTAGTGATGATGATCATTCTTACAGGTGCTCAGCGACGTCTTGGTATTCGTATGATACCATAATTCATTCAACTTCTCTTTCATTTGAGAAGTATCTGTAGTAGTGATGTAAAGTAGTTGTAGAAGATGATAATATCAAGACTGCTGAGAAGAGTGTATAACAATCATACCACTCCTTTCGTAACATATGATGATAACTTCAATTTCATATATTCTCAGTAGTTGATTTTCTACTATCCAAACCCTATTATCACACCAATGTTGTGTTTGATAGTAACAAAGGCACATCTTCAACAACAGCGACTGTGTTCCACGACACAGAAGTGTGTATGTGGTTTTCTCCCTGATTTCCTTAGCTGTAAAAACTATTACTCAACACAACAATAGTAACGATATTTGTAGCGTTGACGCTCTAAGCCTTAATCATCAACCTAAGTGCCCTTGAGTTATGATATTTTAGGCCTCGACAGGCTTCTGCTGCTGACCCCACTTGTTGCCACCCCAGTCGCGACGGGGCTTACGCTCCTCATCGTCACCACCAATGGCGCGGGTAGGGCGCTGCTTGGTCATGGTGTCGGGGAAAGCGGTGGCCTGATCGATGAATCAATTACTGATCACTAGAGTCCCCCATAGTAGTACAGGAAGGTGGAGGTATTGACGAAGATACTCGATGCCATCATCATTGAGGGTATAGTAGTGCCACTGCCAGTTGAACTTCTCATCGACGAGATCTCTGAAAAATGATAAGGTAGGGAGATGGTGGACGATGTGAGGGGGTATTACCTGGAAGAGAGGGACTTCATGATCATCATGACATGAAGGTTGGCAACCTCCATCTGACGATGATGCTTCAAAGTGGGCTTCTTCTCAACAACGATGACGCCCTCCTTGAAGAGATGCTCATAGACAGTACGACGATCCTCCTTTCTGATTAGCACCATGATTATAAGGGCAATGCTTAGGTGGTGGTAGCGGCCTTTGGAAAGGGTAGACGGAAAAAGCAAGAGCGCGCCCGCAGCGTGATCGATAATTATTTGGCGGAAAAGTGTCCCCTGTGGGGTTCGAACCTGCGACCTCATTCCATGTCGGGAAATTGAAGTGCACTGGCGTCTTATGGTTGAACCGCAGACGCTGAGGTTATTATCGGCGCTATTATCAGCGCGAGAGCTTACTCGCGATTGAAGATTCAATGCAAATATCGTAATGTTATCGCCCAAAGTAATTCGTTGAAGTGTGATAGCAGTTTTTGTCGAACACTAAGGATTTCCACCAGCGGCGCACTAGATAGTGAAGAATCATCGCGCGGTTTTCGAAACTCCATCCGCTCCGATCTATTTGTTCTTTATCGATCTTTGTAGTCAACAATAGTAACTCTCCAACAACCGTGTCTCCCCAATGTGCATAAAAGTTTACCTAATATCAAGTTTGCGGAATGATGGGTTCCTTGAGCCTACAGGCTGTAGGTCGTCATCACAGCCTTGCGGTTGAATGGATTTTCACTATATAGTCACGGGTGAGGTGAAAGCGACTCTTCAATTCGCAGTGGTATCTTCGGTTGTTTCACGCACCTTCATACTCGCCCTTGTCTTTGCGTACGGAGAAGTTACTCGTAGTTTCTCTTAGTAACTGACCAGTTCTGCCCGCTCACTGGCCTATGGCCTTCTCTAATGGTGAAAAATTACATGTTTCATTTCTTTGTTGATGCAGACTAAGCGTACCGACGACCATGATGGTGGACGAGGTGTGCATGCGTGCAGGATATTTGATCGATTGGCCTAATCAGTTAGGTTCATCACTGAGCCCATGCGTCCAATCATCGGAACATGGAAACCTGTTGGAGTTGATGATGCCTGCATAACGGAATAGCTGATGGTCACCTCCCTTCGGCGGGTTCCTCGTAGAATGATCACAATCTTCGACTCGAATAAAGTTAGACTGAGAAGAAATTGTTTGATTATGTGCATGATAATTTATTCTCTAGAGTATATCTTTATCCATTTTCCATGGATGAACAAACCCACTCCATGGCTTCCTCTCGGGGATGACCAGTGGCCTGTACTTATTGTATGTATATCAGTACGAATAGAATTATTACTATTGGACTTGAACCTATGGGAAATTCCGATAGGTTTGGCCAACAATGATCGTGGATAAGGTACTACTTACATTTCTCATTGTCATTACTGATAGGTGGATGTCAACTGTCGATGGACCTCGATCTGAGCTCAGCTTTGGTAAATTAAGGTTCATGGCCCCCTACAGTTCCCATCCCAGATGGACGTGCATGGCGGCCGTTATCGGACTCTCTCCGTCTCGCATGATTCGGCTATTGGTATCTTGTCAACATTATATGTTCATTTGAATGTTTAGTTTGTGAGGTCATACCAGGCGGAGTGGAGGGATTCATGATCCACCGTTTTTGTCAGTTGGATGAGTCTATCACTGTTGTCCCCAAGGGAGAGGCTGTGATTTACTCGTGGAGTGGTAAAGGGTTCTCTCTGTCGTCGATAAGATAGTACTACTTCGATATCTCGCTCCTTGGTGAACTCAGTCCAGGGTCTGTTCCTGATGGCCGATTCCCTCAGGAGTTCCGAGTCAGGGCCGGTGCTATCGTGAGGATTTTACGAGAATGGTTCCGTCACCCCACCGGCTGATGACATAGTGGGAATTGATGAGGTAAATATTCACAGTATCGGAATAATTAACGCACCTTGGGCAGTAACGTTGATGTAACACTTCGACGTGCGTCGGTGGAGCAGGCGGGGGCTGGGTGGAGGTCCTATTCGTTTGCTTGTTGAATAGTGATGATGAACACTACACCGTATTTGATTGACACATGCATGTTCTTTGTGATGTTTGTAGTAGAATGAGATGTCTCCGGTGAAGAGTAAGAGTATGACAGGAATCCGAATAGACTCCAATACTATTCGGGAAATACGGATGTACACGACCTCGTAAGGAACAGCCACGGTATGTATACGCGGGCTCGAATCCCACAGGTGTCGTTTTTCCACCTAAACCTCTTTTGTATGTGATCAAAGAGCTCTTCAGGAGTCTCTGTTGTTGCCTCGAGTATGTCCTCCTCCTCCTCCTCTTCGAAGGAAAACATGTCACCAACAGCCGTCAACGCTTTTACGATGATGATGAGCGGAGCGAAGCGATCGACAGCAATTTCGCCTGATAAAAGCAAAGTTGAGGAGCCAGTCGAGAAGAAGAGGAAAATTGAGAAAGTTGAAGAGAAAGAAGATGAAAAAGTGGATGACCAACAGACTGCTGTGGATCAAGTAAGTTTTCCCCCATTTTTTCGATAATTTAGAGTTTCTTTCAGCCCACAGTGGAGGACAAGATGAACTCGGATGAAGAAGAAGTGGATGACGATTATGAAGATGATGATGATGATATTCCGTAACGAGGATGTTCTCTCCGTGATTAACTTTCTTTGTCATTATTCCTCGGAAAATATCAGTAGTTGAATGTTTATCCATAGCTTGACTCTCTAGATCGAACCTTTTCCCTGAGGAAAATCGTTGTGGGGGAGAAATTTCTCATCCCTGGTCGTCTTCAGCACGATCCCTCTGGCAGAGGCTCTAAAGCAGCCTGGCAAGACTGATGCGGAAAAGCTGGCCCAAATCACTAAGGGCACTGGTAAGGTTCCTCTTGGGTTAACATGGTATGTTATGGCCACTACCAGGTCCTTCGTCCATTTGGAAGGTGTCAATTGCAGCTGGTAAGAACTGTTGAGGTGGTTTTCATTGGTAGAGTTAAAACGTTCTTATATTTTCTCACCTTGAAGCGTGGGAATACATCAAAATGATGAAGGTATATATATGCGCGTATATAGTATACCGCACAAATCATATGCGTATACGGGCGTGAATGTCCCCGTCCTGTCGAGGGGCGTTCGTAAGATGTGACGTGTTTTCCGTTTTTATCGGCCCTCTGGTATTAATTTTATGTGGTGATGCGGTTCAGATCGACTTGGGCAATAAACTGTTGTTGGAATAATAATTGCTGTTGTGAATTTCATGGCGATTCTTCGTAGAAAATTCTGATTGATTCATCATCATTTCAGGTAAGAGTCCTACGGCTATCAGTGACATTTCTTCTCCCGCCTTCGATCCTTCCAAATTCAGTCAAATCAAAGTGAGTCGCTGAGGACGCAGGTTCGATTCCCAGCGAGGGTATTTTTCTTTCAGCTTACCCCAGGCAAGAACCTTCCTTACTCATTACTGGCTTTGGCCCTACAGAAGATAGAGGACTTGAAGAACTCTGGACAAGGGTCCAAGAAGAAGGTTCTGGTGAGAACCGTCGCGCGCCACGAAATTAATCCATTTGCTGTGGAGGAAACCCTTGCCTTCGCCGGTACACAATGGGGCATCACAAACCCTTAACGGAATATTTCCCAATTCAAGCGTCGCTCCGCTTTTCGATCGAGAGAGAATTCTTTCGGAATTTTCAATAACTTTTCATCTACTGAAATCAGCTTGAAGTTTTGATATTCTTTAGCCCGATGGTTGTTTATGATCAGGTTATTCTTGCTAACCTATTCCGTATCATAATATACTACAACCCCTCAGAGCTCATCTACGCAGTATATCTACTTATCAATAAGCTCAGACCGGACTATGAGAATGTTGAAGTAATGGTCGTCACCAATCGTCGTCGTCGTCCTCCTAGTCGATTCGGCTTAGGTTGGTGTTGGTGATCATGTTATTCTGAAAGCGATGGCTCAAGTCTATGGTCGTTCTGAGAAGCATATCACGGCCGATATCAGCAACGGCAATGCCGCGGTGGGTATCTCTATGTATGACTCTTCTGAGTATCTATACACAACTGTCGAGTATCTTGATTTTGTCGCGCGCCATGAAATTCTGATTATTCAGGACCTCGGTGAGGCGGCACTGCTGTCTAGAGTGAATCAGCCCATGTTGTTCGCACCTCCTCCGTTGACACTGAGCAAGCTATATAAGGAGTTGCTGGTCATGAGCCAGGCCAGAGGAAAGGTATCTTTCGCCTACGCACGGCGAAGAATTTTTTCGTCTATCATTGTGAAGTGGTAGGACTCGCAGAGGCTGAGGAAGGATATAATAACGAAGTGTTTGGTGGCAGCGAAAGGGGAGGAGGCGAAGTATATTGTGCGGACCTTGCAGGTGGGTATCTTAGGTTCAAGTTGGTAAGATACGGAATAGGTCCTCAGGGTCGTCTTCGGGTGGGGATACTATCAGCAACAATCCTTCAAGCATTAGCATACTCTTTCGTTCTTACTGAGCCGGCCCAGGGGAATGCGGATAAGGAATGCGTCCCTGATATTCGCAAAGGTAAGTATCTTACGTCGCACGTTGAAGATTCTCATGCATGTTAGAAAAACCATCACCGACTTCGGAGAAGATAACACTGAAGATGATCGCGCTAGAGGCAGCCACTAAACAGGTGAATCGTCCCCTCCGTCACGCGCCACGAAATTATCAGTCGCAGCCTCTGTTTGATTGTTCCTGGCAGGCCTTCTGTGAAGTACCGAGTTATGATAAACTCGTGGAATGCCTTTTATCAGGGGCGAATCCAGAGGAGCTCTCCAAGGTGGGTATGATATGTTGGCAGACCTTTTTGTATTCTACCTACCATCTCGGAAGATACTCAATGATACGAAATTGGATCGTTAAGTCAACTTTGGATTGTATAATTGAAATCGAATAAGATGCATATTCCATACCATAATTTGAATAATTCTTCATCCCATGCCTAAGCTCGTGCGTGTCAAAAACGCTATAAAGGGAAGCTGCGCTCCTTGAAATCAGCGGTATGCTCACGTGATGAACTGTGATGTAGTTATATGCATTTTCCGATAGAATCTGTATTCTCTATTTTCCAATAAAGAAAGAGAAAAACTCTACAACGATCGTTGAGGTATTTCATAATCGATTATTATATACAGAGGATACTTCTCGCGCCCTACCCCAGTTCCTCAGGCCTGTACTGTCACTCCTGGGATACCAGTCAAGCCGATGCTCGCTAAACCCACAAAGTCGATAACGGAAGTAAAACCACACTGACGGCGATTGATTTGAATCACCCTAATTCACTCAGGTTCTTGACCGCTTCAAAGACATCAAGTTTACGGCGGAATATAAGTACGCAGAGGAACGGTTTGGAGAACTGAAATTGGAATCGTATAATTTGGTGACGGAATTTTCGCGTTCATTTTTGACCTAGATGGTCTTCTGTCTGCGGTGAAAGGACATTTTCATGAATTCTGGTTTCGAAAGTCGCTGACAATTGAATACGACGATGCGTGCAATTTATGGTATATTGAATTACAGAAATTCACACTTTCAGTGAAGGTGATGGTATTCTGGTCAGATACGATGGTGAAAGAGCCCAGGTGCATTTGTGGACGACAGAAAAGGGCAAGACAGAGATAAGAGTTTACAGTAGGAATAGTGAGGATCTCACTGAGAAGTAAGACGAGTCAATTGACGTCGCGATGGTGAATTGATTGGGCAGATATCCCGATGTCATTGATGCTATACAGGAGATGATGAATACGCTTGACAAGGTGAGCCTCCTTGGGGTCCATTGAAAATGAGACTTCCACGTTGGGTGGGTGCAGTTCGCCCATCTGCTGGGACGATCGAATCCTCGCATCAGAAGGTTGGTATACTTCATCCAGCTCGTCTGTGGAATTATTCGCTTTATGCTTCCTCGGAGGTTCGTGATAGACGTTAGTTCTTTCCATACGGGAGTATTGAATCTGCACAGTATCTCTGCTATCTCATAGTGTGTTCGATGGGAATTCTTATCCTATGATGTTACATAATTGTGGTATTAAGAAATTCGCTCGAGTCGTTCAAAAATTGCTTCGCTCCGCTGATATCATTCCTTTTTTAGCCCATGGAAAGTATGATCATCGATTGCGAGGCGGTGGCGTTCGACAGAGAAAAGCACAAAGTCCTTCCCTTCCAACTCCTGTCATCGAGACCGAGGAAGAACGTGGTGATGTCTGAAATTAAGGTGCGTTGAGGAATTCCAAGATTAGCAAGATTTGTTACTATCAGGTTCAAGTGTGTCTGTTCCCATTTGATTTGATTTACCTTGACGCCGAGTCGATGATAACTCAGAATCTCGACACGAGGCGGAAGGTGAGATTAGGAACGGAGGAAATCGTCGAGATATCATATGAAAAACCGTTTTAGCCGCAACGATATCGCATTTGTTGTCTTTGGAAATGATTATCGTAGTTTTTCATCTTGGGTGCTTCTCAATCGATCGTTTGGGAAGGGGTTAGATGTAGTATGCGAACGGTTGGACTGTCTGAGGCGTTGAAGTGAAACTCTCGAGTCTTTTCAAACCTCAATACGGTGGTCCCTATGGAGATATAAAGGGAAGTTGGTATTGCTTTTCACAGACCTTGAGAACTAGACTGAAGGAGATCCCCGATAGGATACACTTTGCCACGGCTCGCGATATGGACTCGGAGGAGGAAATACAAGCCTTCTTTACTGAGAGCGTTGATGCTTCTTGTGAAGGTGAAGGAGTGGCGGAGGTGCTTTGGTGTAGTTGACGGTGTAGGGTTGATGTTGAAGACGCTGGTCGAGAACGCAACCTACGAGCCGTCCAGAAGGTCCCTAAATTGGCTCAAGTTGAAGAAGGACTACCTCAGTGGTATGGCGGACTCCCTGGATCTTGTGCCTATTGGGGCATTCTATGGGAAGGGAAAGGTGAGGCCATTAGTGATCGAGTTTACTAGGGGTATATCGCAAGTCGATGCGAACTCAATGTCATCAGTCGTATGATAATTATATCCGATACTATAATTCTCGCGATTCATGAATACGTCTCAGCGCACGGGCGTGTACGGCACCTATCTTCTGGCCGTCTACGATGCCAATGATGGAGAGTATCAGAGTTGCTGCAAAGTGGCTACTGGGTTCACCGATGAATTTTTGGACAAACATTATGATTATCATAAGGACAACGTAATGAGGCAGTATAAGGTAGGATGAATTAAAGTGGTAGGTGATACCAAGAAGAAGAGCTGACTATGTTGTGAGTGAAAAGATGACGCCCGATATATGGCTCGACGGAACACAGGTAGCAACGACACTTGAGGGTAGGGCCAGTTACAACTCTGAACAGGTTTGGGAAATCCAATGTGCCGATTTGAGTATTAGCCCAGTCCACACAGGAGGTAAGGGGTTGTAGTCAGATTATAAGAGGAGATGTTTCAATCGGAACTTGCTTGAAGTGCACAGGGCTGCAATATACGTGTATATTCTGAATTGAAGAGGCTTGGGATGCAGCGGACCTAATTACAGCGTTTCTTCAAGAAACTCTCTTGTGCAGCCTCGAATCTGATAGACGGCGCGGGAGGGAAGGGTGTTGGTCTACGTTTCCCGAGGTTCATAAGGATAAGGGATGATAAGAATCCCGAAGATGCCACCACGAGTGAACAGGTAACGTCGTCTGCATATACTCCCATCCGTGATTTCTGTCTTGTTCTTCAGCTCCTCCAGATGTACGAGCAACAGTTTGGCAAAGGTGGTAGCGAATAAAAGTTAATTACATAACTGCATTTCCGTCATTTAGCTGGTGTTGAATTGTGGATATTAGCACGGAGGGTATATCGCGATTTGGTACCCAGGCATACAGTCTGTCATATAGACTGTCAAATACATAGTATGCCTCTCATCATGAGCGCGAAAGATGAGAGTCTCATCTTTCGCGCTTCACGATATGCCCGAGAAAATGACCCTGCCGGTTCCCAAAGTTCCAGGGCACGAGCATCCATAGAATCGGTAGCATGTAATCAGTGATGAACTACCAAGTGACGGTTGACAGGTGGCAGATGCTCTGGAATAACCTCATACGGGCATGTAAACACGCTGCTTATATCGCAGCGTGATAATCGCACCATGCATTTAGGTTTCAGCAATCGTCACGCTGCGGGTCCTCTTTGTGGGTTCATGTCACGTGTCGCGGTATCAGTTGGTGAACTCTAAGAACAACACAACAAAGGAACTCGAACTAGAGCAACCAATACTATGACCCTAGGACAGAGGAAAGAGGATGGCGAAGGGTTGATAAAATAGCAAGATTGTAGGCAAACTGGGGTCTGTTTCACAAGCCCTCATAAGGAACAAAAGTTGTAAGGTACCTTACGGTTTCATGGCAAGTCGCTTTCACATCCTTACGATTTGGGGGGGCTGGCGTAAGGTAAGGTGGCATGAGACTCTTCACCGTAAGGCTCCTTACCTTGCAAGGTGCAAGGAGGGCCTCCTCATGTAAGGCGATTTCATAGGAGACATTTTTGGCCACCTCCTTGCGATCCTTACGTAAGGTGCGGTAAGACTGCTCGGGGGGTACTTTACGCACCTTATCGCACCTTCCTTACCATTTTAGCGAGCTTCGCTCCGCTTATTCCCGACAGCCCGCGCGTCTCACCCGCGGATGATCTATCCTTTAACCATGCATCTTTACCACATATTCGACTTGGCGTTTCAGCGATTTACGGTCATGACCAATTGCCCTCAAGTTAGTTGATGGTAGAGTTTTCGCGTTTGTTCTATCCAATGGCAATATACATATTCTTAGCTTTATTGAAACACTGCGTGGCCTCAGAGGCGCATGAATGAGGCGACGCCTCTTTCATGCGCATCGGTGTTTGTTTAGGTGGTCCTCGTGCTCCTTATTGGGGTTCACGAGGTGCACCTTAAATTTAGGAGCATGAGGTGCAACTGTAGTGAAAACACCTAGCGTAAGGTGTAAGGCTCCTTGCTCCTTGCTCCTAAATCCAAGGTGCACCTTATGGAGCGTTTCTTGTGAAATAGGCCCCTGGACCCACAACACATGTGCCACTCTGACACTCGGAGCACGACTTGCCCGGATCACGGTGACTCACGTTCCCAGCACGTGAGGCCCTATGAGTAGAGTCTGTATCATGAGATGAGTCTGCGTAATCATTTCTCACACATACTTTTTTCTTTTCGGTTGGTTGGCAGAGCCAACCATTGGCTACTAACGGGGTGGTCGTTCTATCTTTCCTTCCGTTGCCATTTTCCGTGAAGGAAATAATGCCTATGTTTCCTTTGGGAAATGAGGAAGGTAGGAGCCAATCGAAGGAACAAAGGAACAGCAACGCTCTTTGGTGGAATAGAAAACTGTCACGTTTGAGGGGTGAGTGTACCCTGAAGCAAACTGAACTGAGGGGCTAGGATACGAGGGAGCTCAGGCAATGACAGTCTTGCCGGAGCCTCGTCTACAGTCTGCTTATCGCGATCATGCACTCATAGTTAGAGACGATACTCACGCCATGGAGGAAACAAAACGCCTGGATGATAGACGCGCTCTGAAGACCCTCCTAGAGGGTATTCCAGCCGACATAGAGTCTATGA